CGATCGTAAATAGAGAGAAAGCGGAAGGAGAGCCACCGCCGAGCGGCCGCGGGAGGAGGGGAGGGGGGCAGCGGTGCTGCTTCTGCCGTAGCCAGGGAGGCTGATGGCGGAGTTTGGCAGCGGCGGCGGCACCGGCGGCGGGGGGCTGCCCTCCTCCCCGGGGCCCGTCCAAGGGAAGGTGGCATTCAAGGCAGGAGATGGGGAAGGAGGAGGAGGCGGCGGCGGGAGATCCCGCTTTGACAGTGTGGGCAGCCGGGTTTCCAACGGGGACTGTGCCCAGCCGGGAGCCGGTGAGGAGCCGGGATCAGCTCCTCCTGCAAGCCCGGAGAGCAGCAGCAAAGAAAAAGGATTTTCCACCAGTCAACAACGAGAAGGCAAACCCGGCATCCCCCGGAGGAGCAGCATAATTAAGGTAAGAGCTCTTGCTCCTCCCCATCGGGGTCTTTTTCTCTGTGACAGAGGCAGGGAGATGCGGGCGATACATTGGGTTCACAGAGCCTTGGCTCTAGATGAAAGGACAGGCAGCTTTTTTCTTTCTCTTTTTTTCCTCCCCCCTGTGGTGAGGGGACTTGATTTTTCCTTTGTCAGAAGTGGACAACAGTGAGAGGATGGCTTTGTGTACATCCATGCTTGGGGGTAGCAGGGTGTCACGTTTTGAGGTTTATTAAAGTAGAGGGCTCTAACTCCTGTTAGGGAAGGTGAGAGAAACTAGCTGGCTTGTGACAAGACAATATGGGCACCAGACTGGCAAGGAAAGACATGAATTGCACAGTATGCTTGTTATTTGGGATGCACCTGTGCAGAGCAGTTTTGTGGCTCCATTGGCTTGTGTGTGTGACAGGCACACAGCAGGTGATGAGAGATTCAGGATCTCATTGGGCTGGGGGTGGGAGAAGGTATAATAGGGATCATTCTTCTTATTAAAAATGACAGCTCGTTTAGCAGTAGGCTGAGTTGTACTTCACCTATAGAAACATCTTTGTACTTAGCTCTGCATATTCTGGGCACTTATGTTTAAGTTTGAAAAGTGGGGGGAGCGTCAGTGGTAGAATGTAGCTTGGGCAAAAAGGAATGGGATTTTATGATTTATTTTTTTTTAATACAATTATTTCCACAAATACACTTGGTCTGGTTTCTTAAATCCATAGTTGCTTCCCCAACTCCTCAGAAAAGGTTGAGAACATAGAGAAACTGCTCCAATAGTATAAGAGCTGTGAAATTAGGCATAACTTCAAATATTTAAGATCTGAGTTTAATCAAGATCAGCAAAATCTAAATTAAGCTAGATGGAAGATAGAATGAAAGGCTGAAAGGCTCATGGGTTGAGATAAGGACAGGGAGATATCTCTTAGAAATTACTGTCATGGACAAAACAGGACAGTAATTTGTTAATTACAGTTAATTTGGGGAAATCAATTTATTACTAATCAAATCAGTATAGGATAATACGAAATAAAACCAAATCTTAAAAACACCTTCCCTCCATTCTACCCCTCTGTTCTGGTGCAGGGTGATGTGGAATGGGGGTTGTGGTCAGTTCACCGTGTGTTTCTGCTGTTCCTTTCTCCTCAGGAGGAGTACTCCTCACACTTTTACCCTGCTCCATCATTGGGTCTCCTCCCGTGGGAGGAACCATGAAATTCCATGAACTTTTCCAGCCTGAGTCTTACCCACAGGGTGCAGTTCTTCATGAACTGCTCCAGTGTGGTTCCCACATGGGGTCCCAAATCCTTCCAGGAGCCTTCTGCGGTGTGGGTTTCCCACAGAGTTGCAGCCTTTTATAGGCATCCACCTCCTCTGCTGTGCTGCTAGGGAACAGCCTGTCTCACCATGGTCGTCTCTGTGGGCTGCAGGGAAATCTCAGCTCTGGCACCTGGAGCACCTCCTCCCACCCCTTCACTGACCTTGGTGTCTGCAGTGTTGTGTCACTTGCCCATTGTCCCCCCCTTTCTTTGGCTGCAATTGCTTCTGATCAGTTTTTTCCCTACCTTGTTAAGCCTGTTATCCCAGGGGCAGTACCGCAGTCACTGGTGGGGATGGCTTGGCCATCTTGAAGCCGGCTGGCATTGGCTATGTTGGTCATAGGTGAAAGTACTGATAGCTTCTCATAGAAGCCATCCTTGTAGCCCCCCGCTGCTACCAAAGTCTTGTTGTGCAAACCCAAGAGGCATTCCACCCCTTATCATTAAAATCCACATCCATCCTACAATCTTCACACATTTTAGTCACTTCAACAAAAGAGACTTCCCCACGCCGAATTAAAAAACAACACCATCACAACACCAAACAAAACACAACACAGTTCACCACAGTTAGAGCATAAATTTCACACAATCAGTCCGTGTTTTGCCCATTACCTTTGTTGTTCTGTTGATTGGATGGTAGAAGAACATGTAGAATATCAAGACTAGTAGTGTATTGAAAGTTGTGTTACTGTCTCCCGGGCCTTGCTGTAAAAACCAAGGGGAGAGCAAGGGCAGTGAGCGGTCGAACACATTTGGCAGGCTGTACCCACCCTTCCTGTTTGAGCAGTGATGCTGGGTGTGTACGTGTCTGTGTGTGTGCTAAAGAAATCATAACAATGGACAGGGGGCAGCTGAGCTTGGTAGTGGAATAACTTCATATTTGCTGGATTTGCTAGTGATTTTGTTTTTTTACAGGTCTGATACTTCTTAACAGTTTCTTGTTTCTCCTGTGGTAGCCCAAGAAAGACAGTAGTGTTGTTTGCACTGTATACCATGCTGCTATACTACTTTGTAGTGTGTGATTTAATTATACAGCAACCTTCTGCCTCTCTGGGGACCAAGCAAGGTCGCAGTACCTAGGGATTTGTGATATATTAAGATCGAGAAGCGTGAGATAAGGAAATAGGTTTTGAATTACATTTCATGGATACTCGAGTCAAGGTTCTTAGTTTCTACAGCAATGATAGCACTTTGGAATACAAAATCATTCAACTTTCTGCTATTATTGCTGCTGAATACCGTTTTGCAGATGTGACCAGTAATCTGCAGCAACCAAGAACTGATTACTAAAGCTTTGGTATTATTTGAATAATTATAGCGAGTGGAAAAATGTGACAGCACTGCATTTAAAGTTATGTGGTCCATATTTATTTTAGATATGACTGTTTTCATGCTGCTGGGAAAAATCACTTGTCTAAATATATTCTGAATATGATTCTGCCTGCTTAGTTCAGCAGTTCAGGTGGTTTGAGTCCAGGTGTGTTGATGCCTGGTTTTTCCCTATGAAACCTTCTGGAACATCTGGCATGGGTAGTAAACCTTAAGATGCTTCTTGTTTGCTGTTGCAGAGCAAAAGTCTGTAAAGAGTGGAAAAAAGTAAGATGTAATATGCTTTTGGAAAGTCTTCCTGGAGTTTTAATAACTAATTTCACTAAAACTGCTCTTAAAGAAGATACAAAGTAACCTCAAGGAACAGGTCTGTTCCATGCAGATGTAGACTTCATACATTAATGGAAAACATGACTTTGTAGCTGATCTGTAAAATGCACCTTTAAGGAATAGCTAATACTTAAATGTTGTGTCTGCCAATTACTGCGTAGGTGTTTGGGTCACAAATGGAAAATTGACATTTGAGTAATAGTTCTAGTTCAGATTAAATTCTTTAGAACCACATATTTGTGCATGAAAATCAGGAGCACAGATCCGTGTTTTATTTTGGTTTCAGTCTGTGCTTCCATTGGCTGTCTATTTTCATAACTCTGAGAAGAGCAGTTGCTGCCTTTTTCCCTTTCCTTTCTTGCAGTCTTTATTCCCTTTCCCCAGTAGCTCCATATTTTTTCTGTCTTATTTATTTTGTGCACCTGCTAATTTAGACTTTTTCTTTCTTGTTTGGTGTAAGATGATGTACTCTTCCAGGCTGAGGTGTCACCTAGGATGATGACAGGTGGTACAGCCGCTATTACTGGAAAAAGTAACGCAGTCTTTATACATAGTAGTTTACTTGGCCTTTCAGTCTCGTGTGTCAGCTGTGTTTAGGCTGAAAGGATTAAAGACTGTACTCTTCGTTTGTAGCAATTTCTATGGAATAGCCTATTTTATTGCTTGCTTTTGTTGAACCAAATTTGAGGGCCTGGGAGACTACATACATGTATTTATAGAGACTTTTTCACTTTCTTATTCTCTGTATTTATAAGGTTCTGATTTTTCAAGAGGCAATAGTGATGATATGTTGTGCATCCATGGGATTAAGGTTCTTGGACACCTGATTTGTGAACTAATTTATATGCCACTTGTTTGTATTTAGTGGGTTTTGGGATGACTGTTTTGCTTTTCCATAATATTTTCCTTGGTGCAGCTAGCTGTGGTTTCCTATTATGTAATTTCCTACAACATTTCCTATAATATTCTGTGAAACAAATTTACATCTTGCAGTTCAAAGTGGGTTTAAGCATCCTGTGAACTTTTCTTAGCTGCTCTGACAGTTGGCAGTGAGGTTGCTTTATTTTTGTGTGAGGTTCCTCCACGCCTTTCTTACAGAGACTTTGAGGTGGTAGGCGTTTGAGAATCTTTAAGGCAGCAAGTGACTTGTGGTGTATGGGTACGTTTCCTCAGAGCTGCTTGCTTCCAGGGGCGTCCAAGAAATGCTTACAGAACCTCATGGTTTCCCAAAGCTATAGACCTAGACAGAAAGAGATCCATGGGGATAAATATGTCTTTATTAGGAGACAGGTTGCAGTAATAAAATGAGAAGAGATACACTTAGCAGAGACTGCTGTTATTTAGGGAAGGCAGCAGTGAGAAACACATGGTGGCTTTAGCATTCTGTGAGCAGGAGTGTTTTTATCAACATGTTTGTGGAAGCAAAGTCCAGGGTGTATTTTTTTTGCATGTACCAATACTGATCTCAATGCCAATAAATTTATTGGCTGATAACTTAAACAAATTTGTATCTTTTTTCTTATGGGTCTAAACTTAAGCTTTCATTCTGTAAAATCATGTACTTGCTAAGCATTGTAAACTCCTAACTTTCAAAGGCTGTAAGAAGAGAGGAACCAAATTTAGCAGGTAGATACTCTAGGGTATAATTTTCAGCAGAGATTTGCTTTTGAAACTAAACATATCTGTGTCTTTCTGTGACAGGGGATTTAGACAGCATATACATCAAGATCTTCTTTCTTGTTAGAATGCCAGTATATGTTGCAAACTTGTTCAGTCTTCTGTGATCTCTAGTTCATACTGTAAACCCGTTTGTATCAGGTATGAAAAATATGAAATACGGGAAATGTTGGACAGTGTTTTCTGCAACTATGATTGTTTTAAAGGCTTTACTATAAACCCTTTTGCGTTCATAGTGAGCTCTAATGTAGCATTTTTAGTGGACTTAGCTTCTCTGCAGTCTTAAATTATCTTAGCCACAGTGTTTGCAAGCCTTCATGGAGGCCCAGGAATAGGTCATACATACTTGGCTTCCATCTGAAATAATATCAAGGAATTAGGTTGCTGGACTCAGTTTAAAGTATATGAAATTACTGATTTTCAATCATTTTTCATATTGCAAAGAAACCCGTGTAGCGATGCAAGTAAACTTGATTAAGCAGTCTTTGGCCCAAAGACGCTAAGGTTCCTTAAGATCAAGGGAAACAGCTATGGAGAGGAAAGTAGGAGAAAATTAACATGTTTGGTTTACTCGTGCCCTTCCCCTTGGAAACAAAATGCGACAGTATCAGCTGAATTCCTTCTGGTTACAGAAGATCTTTGGAAGAAGGACGTGCATCTCCCATCAGTAAAAGATATTTTGCCTAGAGCACATGTGCTAATTGACACCAAAACTGACAGCACAAGAAAGGATATATTTAGGAAAGAAGGCTGTGATAGTTGAGCTCCCCCTACATCTTACCCTGGACAGACATTCAACTATGCAGCCAAAGTGTAGGTTTTTCTGAGAGGCTGTTTCTGGGTTTGTGTTTGTTTTTCTTTGTTTCTAAGTTTTTTCTCTTTGTTTTAATGCAGATCTGTCTTATCTCTCTGGTTTGTCAGTATGAGAGACCTGAATAGCTAATTGCAGCTCCATGAATCCTGGAGCTTTCTTTTAGAGGATGCTGTCTCTGTGATGTGTTGGACTCTCAGCTAGATTATAGAAGGTTGCCAGCACCTATCCATATTTGTATTCCTTCTCCGTCCTCAACTACTGACTGTGTACTGGCTTCCTAATTTTTAAAAAACAGAATATTTTTAAAAGAATATTTAAGACCATAAAGATCATATCCTCTGTGATACAAAGGCTGTATACCTTAAGTATTTACATAGAGTATCATATATGTATACATTAGACCTGTGTATCAGGCAGTTTGCTACTTGTTCACTGTGACACTGTATGTCACAGCCCAACAGAGTGGGTATGTTGTGCCTTGCATTTGGTGTGTATTTTATGTGCCTGAGTAATTTCTGTAGACCATAGTAATCAAAATTTTCTTTGAAGGTATGCAACACTCAAAAAAAAGTTGTTTGTAGAAATGTATACATGAGGATACTGCCATTATGTGATTCATTTAGCTTATGTACTGTAGCCCACAAAGAGATGTACTTCTTCCAAAAGCTAGCTTGGAGCTGGAGCTTAATTTGGAGGAATTTAGCTTCTCTGACTTCTCTTTTGGATGAGCTTATCTGTTTATTTCTCTTGACTCAGTAAATAGCTTGGCTAGTGTGAATAATAACAACTCCTTCACCCCCTCTGCCCATAAAACTTTAGACTATCTACAAAACATATTCAGTCTGTTCAGTGTTGAAAAATTAATTAATGACATTAAAAATCATTATGAATACCTGATGAGGTTTTTTACTTCTGCCTATTATCAGGCTTGATCAGTGACATGACAAGTTTAGCCTATTTTTAAACTAGGAATTAGAGCAGTGGTGTCCTGCCCATGGCTCACAAATACACTGTGCTCCCACAATTTGATTGCATTTGAGGAAGATTAAAAGAATTTAAACAGAGACTGACAGGACAAGTTAATTGTGTAGTTTCCCAGCCTTTGCTGGTCCATGGGTGATATTACCATCAATCCTTGTATTATTTGTGCTGACTCTATAAGGAAAAACCCTTTTATGAAATTCACCAATTGTCAGTCTCTAAGGGCCAAATTAAGTTGGAACCCATATTATAATATTGGTACATGGATTCTAAATTATTTGTCTTTTCACACAAATGTAGGATTGTCTTCAAAATTTACAAGTCTAAATATAAACAGACTAGCAGGTAGATTTGGGGGGGAAGAAAGGTATATAATAATTTATATGTAATATACATGGAGAAGAGGAAATTATAAAAATGTGATAAAAATCAGCAATGTATATGTATTGAAGAATGTTTAAAGATAGGGCTGGAAAAGACCTCAAGAGGTCAGTCTACTCTGCTCCACTGCTCTGCTACAGGATCAACTGTTAATAAATTTCAGTATGATGCTTTTGTCTTTTAATCACCTTTTGTTTGTGATCCTTCTATGCAGGCTGCTGCCCGATTGTTCCTCTTTGTAATGGGCAAAAGCAATCATCTGCAAAAAGCTTGTACTTGTCCTAGTAACTGCATTCTAATTATTTCAGATTATACCCTCAATTTGTCAGGTTCTTTCTGATTTTAACTTACCTTCTAACGTACATGCAGTTCTTCCACCTTCAAGTAAGCATCCTGTTTTAACTGTGCTCTCATTTTATCATACGGGGTATGTGACTTGTATTCTTTGCCACCTGTAAATGAGCAATATGGTGTTGCAGAATCTAGTTCAAAAATACAATTCATGAGAAAATATTGTTCCTTCTAAATATATTAAAATAATAGTTGGTAAGTACAAGCTGATATTATTATTATTACTGGATTGCAGCACTGGCACAAAAAGGGCCCTTTGGAAGGGGCTGGTTTGTTTGTCTTTAAGGAGAGTAAGTAGCAAGTGGCCTCTTTCCCTGTTTTGCAGCTGTGTTTAGGAAAACTGTTGTTACTGTTTTACAGTCAATCTTCACATCTGGCGTGCCTTTTAAACATGGGGCAGTGCCATCACTGCACTTACTTTTCCCTGTTGAAGACTCTGCATGAAGCAGTCCTTTGAAAGGATTGTTGCCCATCCTCTCAACTGCAGTACATCTCTTAATATCTGCTTAAATCACTTCTTTTCCAGAGCTGTGCATAGACTCATCTGTCCCTTGTTTCTGAGGAGGAACATCCCTGAGTTCACTCACCTGTTCCCTCCTAGACTGTGACCTCACAAAACATGAATGTTCAAAACAGTGAAGTGTGCACTATAGTGAGTGGCTGGAAATCAGCAGCACTGAGGCTCACAGTGGGAAAGCAATATAGCTGTGATTCATTTCCTGCCTCACTTGGGATTCTTTTTAATGTCATTTGGCCTTTTGGAGTAAGTAATAAAATATCCCTGGGTACTTCAGATTGTATACCGTGTTCAGGGATCTTTTCAGATACCAAATATTCACATTCTGGAAATAAGTGCAGGCAGACAGGAAGTATCCTTGAACAAACAAACCAACTCCTATTCAGAATTGCAACTGACAGTTTTATAAAATGGACAGTAAAAATTAGAAAGATATTAATCTGGATTTCAAAATTACCTGTAGAAATCTTTAACAAAAGAAACTTGCTTAGGTGATTTATTTTGGTATAAGAAATGGGCACCTTATAAGTATATAGCAGATAATTGATATTATATCTATAAGTGCAATGACTGTTCTAATGCCTTTGCTAGAATTGATTAAAATGGTTTGATATTTCCTTTAAATTATGAGATGACCAGTACTGCAGAAGAAAAAGAACTGCTGCTTTTTTTTGGTAAAAAAAACATCCACAGAATTTTCAAGATCTTTTTATGGTTCAGTTTCTGTGATTATAACTTTCCCCCCTATTTTCTTATATTTAGTTTTTTATTTTTACAAGCATTATTATTTGGCTTACACTAAAAAAGGCAGAGCATTATACAGTTCTCTATGTGCTTTGATGTTTTAGAATCTGTGAACATATCCCCATCCTTTACTGTACTTTTTAGTGTAGGATAGGAGAGGAAGAATGATTGTGAAATTCTGCAGCAGGATAATGGTATGCATGGGTTTTGTTTAGTGAAGTACCTCTTATGATGGAAAATCCAGGATGCTTTATATATTTCATTACTTAGTTCCATGTGATAAGTGTTTGATAATTATCAAGTGTTTTCTTTAGCTGTTTTCCTTAAAAGAAAATGTAAATGTGTTTAGTTAAAAATGTGCTTATTTAAAAAAATATAATTTCAGTGCTTTGTATTTCCGAAGTGTAATTTGGACTGAAAGGACAGGAATTCAGCTTGTGTTGAATCTTTTGTTAATAATGCTTTCTTTCTTGTTGTTGGGGGTTTTAGGATAGGCAGTTATTTATTAAGTAATTCCTGTGAACAGTACAGGAACACACACACAAAAAAAAGGTAAGACAGTGACTTTGTATACTCTACCATGCTTTTTTGTTTAGTAAATTTAAAGCAGAATGAATCTCTTTCATGAATGTATTGTAGCAAATATTAGTTTTTGAGTTGCTGAAATAATACTTACATTGTTACAATATTCACATGTGTATAATGTAAATACATTCATTTTTGCTACATAAGGCAGAAAAAACTCAGTAATAGTTTGAAATAAATCACTGCAGGAAATGGTTTGAATCAACTGAAATGTATTTTGTTGTTTATAGAGAATGGTCCCTAATTTTTTTTTTCTTTGGAGATGTGTTGATAGCAGTTTGTTACAAAAAGCCAGTGTAAATTCTAGAGTTCAAGACTAATATTTATGTGAAATGAGAATGTATTTAGTCATGGCACATTACTACCACATAGTGGAGAAAGCTAGATCAGACATGAGTAGTTTGAGTCCCTGTAGTATTAGGGATTTTGGATTGGGATTTTGGAATTTTTGGTATTTTGGATTAGGGTTTTGAAGAACCCCCTAAGAACTTCACATGGCTTATTGGATGTGTTTCATTTGTTAAACCCAAGTGTCCTCTAATTTCTCGTTGTTCTTCCCAGCTGTAGTAGTTGCAGAGTTGTGTTTCACAAGAATTGTTTGAGGTTCACACTTTTTAGCTAAAATAACGTGTTCCATATGCCTCATGGTCGGTCCTTCTTCAGTGGATGGCCAGCCTGGTCTGGAATCTGCTCTGGGATTGTAGTGTGGTGGTGTAGTGTGAAGGCACCGAATGCTTTCAGTTGTGAGAATTATCTTGTGGTATTTTGTAGATGTAGAAAGATGCTGTGGACTTGCTAGTGTTGGTCTTTCACTAGCCTGCTTGGCCTGGTTGAGGTTTGTGTCTGTCACCTCATCTGTTGTGTCACCCTGCCTACCTGTCCCTCCCTTTCTTGGGTCTCTGCGTTCCTCATACATCTTGGCCTTCCTGCTTCAGCTGCAACAGCCTGGCCCCACTCTGCTTTTTGTCTGGAACAGCTGGTGGAGAACTTTTTATTCCCAGCAAAGGGCTGGAGCAGAGCAGAACTCTGTGTGCTCTGTGCAGCACTTTGTGTCTGCTTGTGGATCCCCAGAAAAGGAGTCATGAAAAGCTGGTGCAGATTCCAGTGCAGCCCTGCTCAACCTTCACAGTGGGTTGAAGTCCTGCAGGCTTTTAGGGCTGTGATGAAGGCTGACTGCACAGCTTGGGGTAGATGCATCTCTTTCCTCCAGTCTTCAAAAGCTCCCAGCTCTTAAGAGTTTGAAGGATGGCTGCAGGGGCCAGGCTGAAAAGTCCATTTGGCTCATGGTGCTGCCTCCAACAGGAAGAATAGAAAAAGCCTCCTTTCCTGACATCTGCTTCCAGCCTTAAGTGATCTGGAGCTAAGATGCATGTAATCCTTATGGGGGGGTGGATTCCCCATAAGGGAATTAATCCATTAATTTCAAAGGCCAGTTTGACTTTTGGAAGCTTTTAACATCCTGTGACAGTTTCTTACCTAAGTGCTGTGTGAAGAAGTCCTTTTTTTAAAATTTCTTTCTCTTTCTCTTTTTTTTTTTCTTTGCATGGTTTTACCAGTCAGCTATTTACTTGTTTACTTGGTATCCCCCAGTTCTTATGTTAGAACAGCACTTTCTCTCTTCTACAAATGACCTGAAAGGTGTTCCTCACCTTTGCTTTATGTAATTTTTTTTTTCTGGGCTAAAAAATCTTGATGTTTTTAGTTGTTCCACCTATTGAAGCTTTTCTATGCTTTTTTAATTCTGGTGCTTTTTTATATATTTTTTTTTCCTTTCCTTTTATTAATTGTTTGCAGTGCAGGACTAAAATGGTACTCCAAATGTGTGCCAGTCAAATTTGTAAATCCACTATAATGTAATGAAGGTTTAGCAATATTCTGATGCTAAATTGGACTGTAATTTATTTATTTTTAGTGTTGTCATGATCAAATATTTAAATGGTATCACTGCTGCTAATTGGCAGTGGGAGAGTGCTGTTAAAACCTTTTGCTAAATATTTAAAACCTTTTTAAAGAACTGTGCAAGGAGGGCAATGCTGATGATACTTGCTGATGCTGGAAGTGGCTGCTATTAACATCTTTGCAGGAGATAGTTGTTCTGTTAGAATACTTCTGTTAGAAGTCCTTTAATGTGTTACAAAGTCTTTTCATGATGCTGATGACACCATTGCTGATTAGCACATTGAGCTTCTAGCTGTGGTTGACTTTTAAGGTTCTTGTCCAGCACTCATGTTAATGGATTATTTTATTCAATCTTTTATTTCTTTTGCTTTATAGTGTCTGAAGCTCTTCAGAATGCCTGTGTCAGAATCCAGAAGAGTCAAGAAGGCATTTTTATTCTTTAGAAAACTCACACAAAGTTTAACAATGGGATCAGATAGCTTCCTGAAAATGAACATCTAAAGTTTCACTTCAGAGAATTATTCAACCAAGGATTAAAAAGATTATTAAATACAGTAAGCAATGAAGGACAAAGATAACTAGAAGTTTCTGTGTCCTACAGGATCGATACAGCATTATCTTGGAATTAAATCCCAACAGTGTTGCTTGTCTGTCTTTCTCTGTTGAAGAAGAAAACCAGTTTTTCCTTCTTCAGTACTTTCTCATTACTGAGAAAGAAAGTAATCCTTATTAGCCTATTCCTGCTCAGTTGGGCTGCTCTGTTGAGACATACCTTGGTTATTACTGAATTCCTGAGGATTTTTGAATCCTCATGCTTTTGTGTGCCCATTTTGTGATGAGAGGCCAGTGTCTGACTCATAATTTCTGAGCATCACTGTCAGCAACGTTATCTTTATGCAATTAAGTCTCAAAGCTTCAGGTAATTCTCCCGCTTGTTCTAAAATGTCTGATGAGGTTTTATATTTCTTCTGTGTTTAAGTGATGTACACTCAGTTGGAGTAGCAAGAATAGAACATGACATGGATTTTCATTGTTTTACATGTGGGAATTAATATTTCTGTCTGTAAGTATTGGACTTACCCTCCAAAAATAGTAGTTTAGGAGTTCTTGTCTTGCTGGGAGAAAATTCACCATTGTTTGTCCTGATAATTGCTGAATTTTTATATTAGTTAGAAATCATAGCACAAGTATATGCTTTCTGTGGGTTCAACTGCAGAAAATACTTTTTTTTTTTTCTTCTACATCTAATCCCAAATTCAACTTGGTCCTTAGTGGATAAATAAAATTTACTTTAATCATTTGAGTGCCTTGTGATTAAAGCTTTGGCCACTAATAATGATTTACAAGATTAACCACTTGCCAAATACCTAATAATCATGAATTAATTTTATTTTTAAAGAAAAGAGATTCTAATGTTTAAATTTATAATGCAGTCTGCAAACCATTCCTACATGTATTGGAAGTATTCTGAAGTTATTGTCATAATATAAGTAATTTCAGGTATTTCCCACTTTTTTGGGTGAATTTAATAAAGTTACATGATGGGGTACCATCAACTAAATATATCTTTTGCTGAGAAAAACCGGTCACCTGGTGATTTAACCTAGGGCCTGATTATCCACCATCACCTAGGCTTTATGTAAATCTGCTCAGTGTACTTTATCAAATGGTACTTTTGGCTGAGGTGATGGAGAAATAAGATTTTTCTGATGTGTTTTGTTAAAATACAGCATAGCTGTTAAATATTTAAGAAGTTTTGTGTGAAATAAATCCAAATAAAATCTTTTAGTATAAAAGACAGACGCAGAGCAGTTTTTTTCTGTTTGGTTGAGAACCTTACCCCTAGCTGCCATGTTACTGAATTTTGCAAGAGTCAAAATGAATCATGGTGAAAGCTACTCCCTCCTTTTTTTTCCTTACTATTTAAAATGTTTAGAATACAATTCTGTATTATAGAAATACACACCTTATAACTCTTGCTTGTTTTAAACATCTCATCTGCACTGCTTACAATGGTTGATGGAAATAAGTCATGAGCTTCTGCTGAAAACTTCTGTTGGCTACTTTCCTTGCAGGACAATGTAAACTATTTGTCTTTCACTGATCAGGTGATTATGCAGTTAAAGATTCTTAAAATGCTGTTGTTGACAGACAAAGCTTCAGAAGAGCAAGGCCTCAATTCAAAGCTCTCAATTTGTTATACTAGAAAGAATGAAAAAAAGTTCTGTATTATTTCAGGCCAACAACTTGGCAGGAATTTAAATCTGAGTCCAAGGTTCCTGAAACCAGAGGCATGAGAATGCAGGCAGGTTGTAGGGGAAATACAATTTCACAGACAGCTGAGATATAAATCATAGTCACAATGTTTAAAGGAGTTATTTGGAAAATGTAGTATTCCATATGATTACAAACAGAAAAAGGTACGTTAGGTGTGGAATATGTTCCTTGTTGCTAAGTAGTAGGGCAGTTTTTGAAAGCTGGTGAAAAAAAGAATGGATTTTTGGTCATAGGTCAGGATGAGTTTTATGCAAATAATAACATGACTGAAGGAGGCAAAATATTTTTGAGTCCTTTTCCTACAGCTTTGATAGCTCACAGTTTTCACAGGTTTCAGCACAGTACAGCATTGTGGAAAACTTACATTTACTAGTATTTTGCAATTTTTAATTTTTTTTCCCCTGTGTGGAATATCAGTTAATTTCATGCTGGAAAGTGTCTTGGAAGATCTTACTGTGAAAGGTATTGTTGAGCAGGAGCAAAATCCCTCTGTGGCTTGTCAAATCGTCTTGCAACACTACAGTGTATGAAATGGATGTGACATTTCTTAACCCTCTTTCTGGAAATATGGTTCTTTTAATGATGGTTCTTAGTTTATAAGATTTCTTTTTTTAATATAGACAGAATAAAATTTGTGTCTAATATTTTTGTTTTGTGACTACCCTGATTTTAGTAAAAGTCCTGGTCATCTCAGGGAACAAGCTTCTTCCAGTGGGAAAACAAAACAGGAATGCCATTCTTGCACCTGCTGTGTTGAGGAAAGGGAGAGAGGCAACACATTAGAGAAAATAAAAAATGTTTTAACTTGTGTCTTGCATTATACTACTGCTAAGAAATGTTCTCATCCAGCTGTGTTCAGATGATACAGGAGAACTCTCTTCACTATGCCTGTGGTCATTCTGTGCCTTACATTAGCTGCAGTTCTGTGAGGCAGAAATTGTGCTGCTTGAAACTTCATTTCCATCTCTGTTGTCTTTGTAGCTTGCCAAACTCATTACTTGTTTTAAATAAGCAATGAAAACCCATTTCTTCTTGCCTCCAGGAAATCTTTGTTTTAATGTAATTTGTTACTCTAAAACACCGTAAGAAATGTACTAAAACTCTAGCAGATTTTGAACCAAACTGTCACTGAAAAATATACTTATTTCACATTATACTTCTTTCAATATTCACAATAGATGACTGGGAGAAGATGACACCTGCTAGAATTTGATAACACTGTTTTGCTTACATGTAAAAATCTGGAGCCACTCCCTTCCTCCTCCCCACCAAATAAAACCAAGCCCTACGTTTTAAACTGTAATTTGAAAGATTTCAGAGTTTACAGGCACCTTTTCTCCAATTCCTTGCCCAAATTATTTTGGGATTCTTTGCTGAAGATACTTGCTATAGTTAGCTGTCATAACCTGTTTTCTTACAGTTATTGCAAACCAAATACAAGGAACAAAGGTCTGAGACACTTGTTTTTGACTTGTATATGATAGGGAAACAAAATCTCAGAAATCTACATAAGGGGCTGAATTGTCATTAAGAATACCTTTCATAACAAATGCTTTGGAAAGAAATGTGGCAGTTTTCCAAACAGGAAAGAAGCAAATGATGCAGAAAGCTGACTTTTAAATATATACTTGTGTGTGTGACTGGGAGGTCTCTTGTCTGGCCTGAGTGTTATGTGAGTTCTAGTAGTTGAACTGTGTTGGTAGCTAAGAACAACAAAAAGAATAGAGTAATTATATTTTTCTCTACTACAGCATTATTTTATTGTATGTGGTTCTTGAATTGTAGCATATTTATTCACTGTATATCACTCCATGTTTTTGAAACATTTTTTCTTTAAAGGTAGTAGCGTAAGGTGGTGTTATTTTCTTGGGTCAAACTTGTAAACTTATTCTACTTAGTTTGATGTGCAGGATTAATTGAATAGATTAGTTTTAGTTTGGTGCATATATATTTATATATAAAAGGGAAGATTAATTGACCAGGAAGGGAAAACACTCAATTTGAGTGAATCAGAATTATAGTTTTCATTATATTTGTTTCTGATTCATAGGAATGTTCCTGATTCATAGGGTTAATTGGAATAGCCGGATGTGGGAATAAAAAAGAATTCCATTTGCATTTAAAATTGTCAATTTAAAGTTAAAAGCAGAGATATTTAAACTATTCCTTATTTAATTTGAGACTAATTAAAAATAGTTACTTTTGGGGTTTACTTCATTGCTTGGAGACTATTAAATACGTGGAAAGACCATATTTTGTTTCTGTGGTGTTCCTAATGGGCCAAGCAGCATCTGGTCCATTGTGATACCAATTTGCTCTTCCAATAAGTTTGTATTGTTAAAAAAACATGCAACAAAGCAGGTCACTGCCTTAAAGGGAGAGTGCTTATTTAAAGGAAAGAGAGAAACTGAGTACTGGAATTACACATCTTTTGTGCTCAGGTTCTTTAACATTTCATTTTCCTTTACACTTTCAAATGGCCAAGGATAAAGGAAATTGAAAATACCTCATATCTGCCCTTGAGCTACAAGTGGGGGAATTATTTTAAACTAAAAGAGAAGACATATATATGAGATGCTAGGAAGAAATTCTTCATTCTGAGGGTCGTGAGGCACTGGAATGGATTACCCATAGAAGTTGTGGATGCCCCATCCCCAGAAGTGTTCAGGGCCAGTCTGGGTGGGTGTTTGAGCAACCTGGTCTATGGCATCCCTGCCCATAATGGGGGAAGGGAGGTTTGGAACTAGATGATATTTAAAGTCCCTTCCATTGTAAGCTATTCACTGATTATGTATTCCTCTTGGGGCCATCCACAAAGGTAGTAGGATTGTTACCATGACTTGCTGCAAAAGCTTTCTATGCAAGTTTCTCAGTAAAACTCTTCCATCTTGCCCACAAGGCAGGCAGAGCTGAAGGTTGTCTAGGCAAAGGATAAGCAAGAAGACAGAATGAACTGATGTGTGTGTCCTCTGAACAGATACTAGATGGGGAAACTGTTCAGAAGAGTACCGGGAATGCGGTTGCATGGTTTGGTAAAGACTGAAATCCTAATAACTGATGAAGATATTATGTATTGAATGTCCAGGCCTCACTGCCCCCGATCCACAAGCACTGGCTGGATTCTAGCACTGGGAAGGACAAAGTAACAAAGTATCACACTGGAGGCCCTCTGGCAGCCCAGGTGCTTCCCAGTGGGGTCACCTGGAGGATATGGTCACTCTGGGGCCAGTGCAGCCATCACTGCTGCCTTTGCCTCCTGGGCTGTTTGGTCCTGGAGCTGTTGACTGCAGCCAAGCTGCCAGCATAGGGATGCTGGGTGAGAGCGGCACCAGGCAGCCAAGCATCCAGCTGTG